AGCTCACAAAAGCCCAAACCAAGGCCAAGATAGCAAATGAACCCTAACAAAACTCAGTTGAGCACCAGCCACCAACGCCTGAGACAACATTACCGGGACAAGTTGAGGGGATGAGCTGCCACAACCAAGGGGCACAAAACGAAAAAAATGCAAAACACACAGAGCCACCCAAATACCTTAAAATCCCACAATATTACATAAACACAGACAAGAAAAAGGAAGCCAGCCACATAATAACCCAACTACTTATAAGCTCATGTTAAGTCCATTGACTTTTAAGGTGGGTCGAATACAGCTAATTATGGTACCATGTTTGTTCTTTCAAGACTTAAATTTGCATTGGATCCTATGGTACCCTGAAACAAAAACCCACCTCCTCTAGAGAAATTCATTACAAAAACTCAGTATGAAAAAAATAATAATTGAGATATCACAATGCTGAAACACCCAACGTTTCAATCAGGTGTAGACAAGATCCAGAACAGAATGAAATCCTTCAAAATCTTATATATATTTAACACATTGCGCTGATTCAATATTACAATGCTGCAGCATCCTAATGGCCCCCTTAACAGTTGGAAGCCACCACGCCTTCTTCTGATATGAACATATTGAATAGAAGAAAGTATATATGCACGAAAACTGGTCCTTGTGATGAACTGGTACACAACCATCCTTCGACGGGTGATGAATCTGTAGAAAACAAAACCAGCATTGTCATATTGTTCTCCTCAATCTCAATTCTCAACTCAACCAACATAAAACTACTAATTTTTATGCTCAAGAGTAGCCAACCTGATTTCAAAGAGCAAAGATACATTTTGGCTATTCACTGGCACTGTTTTAGATTTTAAGGCCATCTAATGCTAGTTCTTTTTCTGACAGCAGCTTCAGTTTCTGGAACGTCAAGAATAATCATGAGCAACTACATAAACAATTCAACTCAGATTGAAATGAAATGATGAATACTATGTGCATATATACCGTAATATACTGTGGGGATTCAATGATACTAGTAGTGCCCAGGATTACTTCCCTTCTCAATTTCGTCGTCAGCTTGTGGCAAACTCGTAGCTGATGACAGCATCAAGATAAAAACCATGAGAGGAAGATCTAAAAGCACTAAAGTGCAGATCAAGAAACCAAGAAAAAAGGTTCCTCACAAATTCTACCTCAGATCGAGTTGCCCCGCCAATCATAAATACAAAAATTCGTTGCCCCATCTTCTTGAAATCAGTAGATGCACCTCTCAAAGCCGAGTCACTACAAAGGTAGCAGAAGAGCAATAATTAGTTGATATCCAAGACTTATGGCAGTTCAAAGTTGCCATATTCACATCTTCCAAAAACCATAAAGAATCTTTCAAGTGTTATCAACAACCAAACATTAGAACCAGATAGTGTATCCTGTTTTAGACATATTACAAAAAGTATTGCAAGGACATGAGATATGACCATATGGATTAGAGATATGACAATATGGATTAGAATAATCTCAGAAGATTAAATTCAACAGCTGCCCTTGTATGCACATTCAATTAGGGAATGAGCATGTTAACTCTGACTAGATTAGGCACTG